GCTTCCCTATGTTTCCTCGTAGCAATGGTCCTTATAGCCAGACAGTTCAAGCTGCTCATCTATAAATAGAACCCACCCCAAGATTTTAACCAGACATAACTAAAATGGTTTAACAATTCCTGTTATTTTGAACAACCAAATTGACTAAAAACAATTCTCTTTAATGTAAATCTAAGTAAAAGACAGATTATTAGTCCATGCTTAAAAAAGATTGTCCATTTTGAATGACACTTCAAAGTGAGTTTTGTCATTTTTGACCTTTTCTGTTCAAGAGAAAATATATTTATCTATGAAAAATTATGGTTTCACTATGTCCTACTTAATTTCCTTGTAGAACACAGAGTCAGTACAGAAAAAGGGAAAATAATCCAACACAGTTACAGTCTTTACCAGTTCATAATCTCATTTTTTGTTTGGTGTGTCATTTGATTTCCTCTGTTTGTCACATCACTGATCTGATATCGTCCCTTGAAGGTCTGGCTATCTGGAAATGAGGGGAGGAAATTTGATTAATGGATTCAGGCCAAATTAATCTGAAGTTCTAAAGCTGGCCCTGTTGCTAGTGTCCAGAGATTTCTAAAAAGTGGGGTTATGTAACATCATGATGTAATCTCACAAATAATTGGACATTACTGGCTTTAGTCTGTCCTGTTGTCTGTTGTGTTTATGCTCCACCTGGACAGACAAAGAGGAAATCTTATTGCAGCTCCTAATTGCATTTTCTGTCTTCTGGTTAGCTTCATCTCTTGGATCACTGAAGAAGAAGGCACAGCTGGGGTGCTATCTGCTACTGGTGACTTTTTACAAACCTAATTTTGCTTACAGAAAACAGTAAAACCACTCGGTGACACATTCTGGTTAGATCTACAACAAAATCTGTACTTTTAATCTTGTTTCTTTTTGAATTGCTAATTCAGTCAATGGTGCTATTTATTTTATTTTTTTTTTTATTTGAGAGGCGAAAGTAGGTTTCTAATTTATCTGGAGTGCCTCAGGTTTGTGATTAATTTGTATATAAAAAAAATGACCTTAACTTTTTTCTCTCTTTTTTTGGTACCCAAGGGGCAAAATCTAAATTAAAAGACCTAAATTTGTGGCAAATACAGCTTTTATGTAATGATTGACAGAGCAAAGTTTTTTGTAAGGCAACATTATCACAATAAGAGTAGTGTTTCCTTGATGTAAATGAGCTTACTTCCGTTTGTAATGTAACATATTATAACTTATTTGACCTTTACAATGAAATGTGCTGAAAACAAGTAGAATTTAAATGCAAAACCTGTTCATACATATTTGTTTTATCTGTAGCCTATACATGTCTCCCTTCATTGATTTCTTTTTTGAGAGTGATTTACAGAGTTAATCTTGTCAACAAAAAGCAGATTAATGCTCCTTCAATTAAATTGTTTTGCTATTGTTGAGTCTGTGATAGAAGATAATAGCCTTGCAAAGTTTAGCGACCAAGTGTAAAAGTAAAAATAATGACAAAAAAAATGTTTCCTGAACTGCATGCCCAGTGATCTGCATGGTTTAACTTCATGCAGTTTTCTGAACTGCATAAAGTTAAACCACAACTTCATGCAAAAACACACTTCATGCACAACCGAAATGCTCTTTGATTTAAGGTTAATCATGTTCAATCTTTTAATGCATTTCCAAACCCAGAAGTGTGCTTTTGTATGCTCTTCTGACTATATTTCACAGCTTACAACTTTCAATCTTCCTCAAGTACCTTCCTTCTGTAAAAAGTATAATAATCACTACAGAAATATGGTTTTAGTTAATTAAGTAACCTATAAGTAACCTTTATTTATACAGTAATTCACAGTAAATTAAGTAATTTTAGTTTAATTGCATAATCCTTTTGCAGCCTTAATATTTTAGAAGACGATATGCTGTCTGTCACCTCTCTCTCTCTTTCTATCGTTCTCAGGCTACACCTCCTTCCTTTTTCTTGTGTCACTACAGCGTCCTCCCCTTATCTTCTTCACTCTCACGCAGTCACTTTGCCACCCACTGCACACGTGAAGTCCTGTAGTCACTATAACATTTTCAAGCAGGAAAAAAAAAAATAAGGTAAGCTTCCAACACTTTCTCTGCTTTAAAGAATTTAGATAGTTTAATAGATATCAAGTTGAAATTCTAAATGACACTTTCGAAAGTGTCTATGTTTTTTGTTGTTTTTTTTTATTAATCACAATAGCAGTTCTATATGTTGTACCTTCGTTAACATAATTTAAATATCTTCATCAATTTTTAAGGAGATAATTATTCTCATGTTGTTGTTCTCAAAGTTGTTTTGGAATTATGTTTTTTTTCTCAACAATGGGGAAAATAAAATTGACAGTTATTAGCTTTCTTCTCGAAATGATGTTTTAGCTGCTAACCCAGCTTTTGCAAGAATGCGTGCATCTTACATGAACCCCTGTTAGACAAGATTCTTCCTGGTGAGAACATAGGTGGTGTAACAATAGCAGTTTGCACTTTCAGAAATACTATCACCAATCGGTTCAAATGTATTTTTCTGACACGGTTTTGGATTTATAAAAAAACAGAAGATTTACTGAAAACTCCTTTGAGGAACTCCCTCAATTTGAACAATTCAGTCCACCATCACTTGGCATCTTGAAATCAAATCAATTTTGCTTATAATATTTAGCTTATACCCACCAGCCAATCACAGGTAATTATTTTGCTACAGCTTAAGTTTTTTACTAAAAACTTTTCAAAGCACATATCTCATTAGAGATAAGATCCTTTGTTTTCAAAAGATGATGAGGACATAAGATACTTAAAAATAAAATAAATGATACCTATACATAAAATAATGATACCTATACATCTACTTAGAAATTGAAAAATTGCTTAATTTAATTTCATGCTATAAAGTGTTTCAAACTGACTAGAAAAAAAACTATGTGGGTGGTTTCTATCAGGATGTAATTGTTGCCACAGCACTACATATTTGATCATATGTGTCACAACCACCTAGCACATATCCTGCATAAAATGACTTTCCTGTGTCAGTCTGAAAAATAGAAGTCACCAACAAGTACACCAGATGTGACCCACATTTGATAAATGAGATGGTCTGGCATCCACTAAGTTCACATCTGCAGCAAACGTCAGAATTTCTGCTTCAAAAAGTACTTTTTAAAACCAGAAATATGAAAAATATAGAAAAAAACACTTAAAGCAACAAAAATTTAAACATCACTTAAAATTACAATGTGCTATATTTTTGCCCCATGAAACAGCAGGTGGTGTGATGTATGCATTCAAATAAGTTTCATTCATTTAATTTATTAAATGAATTTTTCAAAACCAAAAGATGGTGAGACCAGATAAAAGACATATTTGCTTATCATGCACAATGTTAACTTAAATCCATAAACAAGGGGAAGCATCTCGCAGCTCAGTGAAAATCACTGTAACCTTCTCAAAAGTTAATAGTGATAATGCAGAAACCTCCGTTTTTGAAGATCTAGGCCAAGCTTAAATACTTTCTATGGATAAAAATAGCTTTGTCTTGTAGCTCTTATGTAGAGCACAATTTGAACATTTCTGCAATTTTTACATTGTTGCTTTTGACCTCTTGGCTGCCTTTCTGAGCAGTTTATAGTACATCCTTTAATTCAAATTGGAGAAAGATCTGATCTCTTTTTAATAAAACTCTACCCCATAATTCCCCAAATATTGATAACTGTCTGATCTAAAATCCACCATGTAAACAAAAGACTTTAGATACTGTTCTCCTTACTGATCTCTTTGTATAACTAGGCCCTTTGAAAATTTAAATGGTGAATTTTGATCAGGTCATGCTATGAAAAAAGTTTTGTTAAAGAGTATTCACAGGTAAATGCAGCTTTTTGGATCTTTTTTTGGTCTTTCAGATAAAAATGCATTTTTCTTTTGAATTAGATCATACATGTCACATCAAATTTCTACAGCACTTCAGTGACTAATCCATTTTTTTTTCTTAAACACAGACAACTGCATCAGAGCATCTCTCAAAACCCAGCTGTTTTGGAGCTTTCCTGGTCTTTATTGGTCAGTATCTATAAACAATCAGTTAACGGAAGGAACAGTGAACTGGCGACATGGTAATGGGTTTGGCTTAGTAATGGTTTGGAGAGAATAATTTGGGTCCAAAGTCTCAAGATCTGTTGCTTACATCTTGGTGTCACCACAGCACCTTTACGTCCGTACCTCCAGGGGTCAAGGCTTTGTTGACAGAAAAAGCGATCAGCACACAATTAAGAAGGACTCATAGTGTTATGGTCTATTTATAGTGGGAAATTATATTTACTGAACAATTCCTCAGAAGGATGAGGTTGAGACTGCGGGACTGTGTTTTTGAAGACAAAGAAGCTTTGAGCAAACTGGTCATGGAATATTTTGCCAAAAACGGTCAAATCACTGAACCGTAAGAGTGTTTAAAAATTCTAACGGGTACAGACTAGTTTGAGATGCAAAATCTACAAATGCTAAGACTCTACTGTACCTGGAAATGTATTTGTTGAAGTCTAAGCAAAACCAAAAGATTAAATCAACGTGTTCTTGGAATTGAATCAAGAAACCAAGCAACCACAGTTACTGTGCCTATTTATGAGCAAGCAGCCTTGAAGAGAGGAAGAGCATAGGAGAGGTATATACGAGACAGTTAGGACACCACAAGATCTGAATAAAGCACAAACAAGATAAAAAAAATAAAAATAAATAAATATTAGGATGCAATTCAACATTATGAATATTTGCAAAGATATTAGTTTTTTCTATGTCATTTACCAGCTAACAAGTTAAATTATAGCCATGACCATACCCATAGGTCGTGGCCATACTAAAATAGAACTCAACCTGTTGAATGTGATGGGGAGCCAATCAGAAAGCGCGGTGATGTAAGAACTGAGGGAACATGGCAACTGAGAATCCAGTGGACATCAGAGGTGATATGTGGAAATGCTTATCACTATGTAAAGGTCATTATTATATATGTTTATTATATGTTGTTATGTTTATTCGTTTAAAAATGTTAACTACGAAAAAACATAACTCACCTCCAAATCATAGTGCAGCAAATAGAGTGGCTGCTCCCACCGTCATTTAACAAACACCATTTCTTTTTGTTTTGTCCTTTATCGCTTAAAATGAGTCCACAAATGATCACTACTGTTTCTAGATCGTCATCTGTGTTTGATTATTCTAAATTCACGTATGGTGAGTTGGGGGTTTTACTGAATTTTCTTCTGGAATCAAGATGCTCGTGGCTGGAATCGGTTTTGTGGCGTGTAGCTGGCACATGAACCAATTGAATCTGTTGGACTTTTATCGGTTCGTGTCATGTGTGGTCTCAGAGGTTTGGAAAATTCTTAAATCGTGCCGTGTGAACCAGACCTACAACTCACCAGCTTCACTCCTCTCATCTCGTCTCGACCTCTGACCTAACGCTCTCTGACTCAGGTCACTAACGTTGACACATCCCTTCAAAATAAGATACAGATGTGCCACAAAAATGAACATTTTACTTTCGTGAAAATTTTAACTCACAGTAACGACTGATGTCCATGACTTTCGGGTGCAAAACACATATTTCTCCGCTCAGTTCCTCAGACAAATGATCGGCTGGAATGGATAAAGGAGGGGCTTTTTTTCTTTTCTGTCGGCTGAACTGATTTTATGTCAGATACGAAACATTTTAAAAGGGAGCCCTGAGCTTGTTTCTCCCATCTGGGAGTGATGAGAGACAATAAAATCCGAAGTTTTGCTTCTGCACTGGGTGCTTGGTCTCTACAGTTTGAAGGCTTCATTGCCTCATTAATGAGCAGGTCAGCATATCATGCAGAGCAGCTCAGAATCACCCGGGATAAATCCATTCTCCTGTCTCTTCTCTGGGCCTTTCCCCTTTGCAAAGAAACTTTTCAAAGACATTTGATCTGTTTCTTACTCATTTTGCAGCTTGTGGGCTCAATGTTGGTGCGAAAGACGTAACTGAGAAAATCCGGTTGAAGGATTTTCAAAACAAAAGATCCTCCAGACTCAAATAATACTTAAAGCTGAAATATTTAATTATTTCTTGTGCGGCCCGGTACCTATTGGTCCACGGACCGGTACCAGGCCGTGGCGCAGGTGTTGGGGACCACTGGCTTAAATAATATGTGAATGTAACTAAATAAAAATAATGACAAAAGTTACTTTGTATTCCCGTGAAGGTATTAGGGCATGGAAAGATTGAAAGGAAACTTTTGAAATAAAATATTGATGCAGAACAAAAGCAGGAGAAGAAGCTTTAGCATGACGTGTTTATAACTCACTTTAATCTACAGCCCAGGCAACTATCTCTGCAATATTATCATCAGCTGACTCTATAATGATCACAGTCTGTTTGGCATCTCCTCTAAATGAGTCTTTGTCTTCACTCTCAAATCTTAATACTTCTCTTAAGCTCTAGAATAAATATTGAACATGAAATAAAAAACAAGCACATTCTGTTTTTTATTTATTTTTCCACAGGAAATTGCTGGTATCATCAACTGGATGTAAAACTCTCAAGGTAATTTTCTGTTATCCAAGAATGATGTTAAATTTTCTAGTAATACCTCTTTCCCTTTGGTATAAAAATGCTAAGACTTCCAGATTTAAATAACTTACACTTTGATATGTTTCTACCTGAATATGCTGCAGATCAGAAGGTTAGATCTGAAATGGGGGAAATGAAGGAAATAACTTGTTTAGATTCTCTGAATACCAACGCCTCATCACAAATAGGTATGTTCCTTTCAGTTAATTTAAAGTATTAAATAATAAATTTGTTCCATATTTATTCATAGCTCAAGCAAAAAAAAAAAAAAAAAAAAAAAAAAAAACAAAGGAAAGGGAAAAGCAAAAATTTATCAATCAAGAGACACAATGTTGCCACTAAAATGCATCAGAAACATTTCTCTGAGATTTATGTCCAGGTTAATATGACAGCCTTACACAGTTGAAAGAGGTTGCACATTCCTGATGTAAATCTTTCTCCTTCATGTTTTTCTTCCAGCCAATAAATTTTGTCACAATCTGCAAATCTACATGGTTCTGACAGACCTGGAGAAGAAAGCCATTGGCACCATTTGTTTCCTGGGTGGTCCGATAACACTGATGGAGAACGTCCTTGTCCTTGGAGTTATTGCCACAACGGCGATGCTGAGACAGAAGCCCTCTTATCTGTTTATTGGCAGCCTTGCCCTGGCAGATGTCTTCGCTAGCTGCTTCTTCACCACAAGTTTCCTGGACTTTCATCTCTTCTGCCGCTGTGATGGTCCAACTGTGTATCTCTTCAAGTTAGGAGGGGTTACTATGGCCTTTAGTTCCTCAGTTGGGAGCTTGCTGCTGACTGCACTGGACCGATATCTCTGCATCTACCAGGCATCCAGTTACAAGGTTCTACTAACCCGCCGAAGGGCACTGCTAAGTCTCCTGATTCTCTGGAGCATCACCATTTTCCTCTCCTCCTTGCCGCTCATGGGCTGGAGGTGCCCCACAGTGCTTAACCCTCCGTGCTCATGCTTGTTCCCCTTCATCAGCCGAGTCTACTTGGCCTGCTGGACTACTTTTATCCTTATACTTCTCACATTAATTTTGGTGGCCTACGCCCTGATCCTGTTGAAGGCCCACCGTCATGAATCTTCCATGACCGGCCTCCAGGGGGCAGCAGGTGCCGGTCAGGCCCGCATGAGAATGGATATTCGGCTGGCCCGTACTTTTGGTTTGATTCTCCTCATACTGGTGGGGAGCTGGCTCCCTGTACTTATCTTCATGCTGGTTGATGTCTCTATGGTCTTGACTCGTAACCAGCAGAGAGCTTTTGCCTTTTGCAGCACCCTTTGCCTACTGAACTCTGCAGTCAACCCACTGCTTTATGCCCTGCGGTGCAAAGAGCTAAGAATTGCTCTGCTGCAGTCTCTACAAAGGTCATGTGGTTTCTGGAAGTGTAAAACCTCAACAAATGACTTAAATCTCACAAGGCATTCTGCAGACGACAACTGTGCTACAGTGTCTGATAACACTTTGGCAGTGACGACCCCTCAACTCGACTCAGTCTGTGAAATAGTGAGCAATAAGTCGAATTAAATAATCACAGTGGAACACAGTGGAATAATAAATTAGCAGCTCAGATGAAGACTTGAAGGGTGCTGGTGAAGTACTGTAAAATCATCAACACAATGTAATGATTTAAATACTTCGATAGGAAATGAAATATACAAAATACAACTTAACATTTTTATTGTAGATTTTTTTTTTTCTTATTAAAGACATAATGACTGGCAGCGATATTTTATTATTCATTGTTTTATTTTCCTTGTAACAATGAACCTACATGCAATGCATAATTAATAAGGTAATAAGTAAACAGATTTAATCCGGGCTCTGAGACGAAAACCAATATAATATAATCAAAACAGAACACAAATGGAACTAAAAGCTCAAACACCTGTCTTCATAAAAATGCCAATATTTTTACTAATGCTTGCCAATATTGTTGGAACTGTATATGGGACACTGCAAATGTGTGAGAGAATGTAATCTGGTCAAATGAAACAACAAAAAAATGTACTTCATGCAAAACATGCATGAAAGAAAACTAAAATTTAGAAATGTAGTGAAACATGGTAGTTGCAGTATTATACTGTGGGTCATATTTTGTTCAGTAGGGATAGGAAAGCTGATTCGAGGCCAATGGACTGATTCAATACATAGACAGAACTAAGCACAAGAAAATCCTGGAAAAAATAGTGAGAACACTTGATAAAATCAGTTCAGCTAGAAAACAGAAGGGTTCAAAGGTTAAGGGATTTGTGGTGCTGATGAAAAAGCATTTTAAGATAGTGCTGTAATCAGCATAATAAATGTATTATTGATCAAGAATGACAATTTCAATTGAAGTTTCTCATTTCTGCCTTTCCTGAAAAAAGACTGTGAACATATTAAATTTTGTGTAACTTGTATATAAGCAAACTGTAATACCACTGTTGTTAAAATATTACATTAACCATGGACCTTTACTCTATTTCAGGAAAGATATAATAAGCATTTACTTTACTTATTTATTGTAGAATTTTCCGTACATGGTCCCATGGAACTAAAACGGCTCTGGTAGAAATGTAAATACTTCAATAAAACCAAAGAAAAAAATTTGTGTGTTAGTATGCGTTTAATCATTGGCTTGAGTAATTTACACTGAATACTGTTTCACCTCTTGATCTTCTGTATAGTGACCTTACAGTTGTGAGAAGTGGAGCCCATGCAAATTTCTAGGCTTTTTGTAGTTATGCTTTGAAAAAGTTACACATGTAAATATTTCTCAGTTTTTGTATTTTTAATGACAGTTACAAAAATTACAAATTGCATGGATCATTTGGGGGATTTTTGTGTTGATTTAGGAGTGTCTTTCATTGTTTCTACATTAGTTTTGCATTTTTTGGGCCTGATATGTCTTAGGTTTTGGAGATTTCATGTTTTATTTTAGATCTTTCAGATCCCGTTCATTCCATCTGTGAGATTTGTGTTGTTTGTTGTTTGTTTAAGTTGGAGTAGACCATGTAAGCTTATCAGCCTTGCAAAGCCCAATTTAGTAGACCAAATGCTTGTAACAAAGAATGCTTAACCTCTAAACAATCACAATTAAAAACGAATGTCCTCAAAAGGTCTAAACATATGTGGCATTACATAGAAAAAAGTGTTTCCTTGCATTTTGCATGAACCTGTCTGCAGATTTCTTAATGGTTTCAAATCAACTGCCTGATACAGAAGAATTACTGGCAAAAATGGGACCCATGAATGACCAATGAAAACCACTCAACATCTACAGAGCACCCAGCTAGTTTTGTAAATGTTTGTTGCCTAGAGAGAACATCCATATGTAGCCATCACTCACATTGACCTGCTTTCACTAATGTAGCATGACAAAACTATACTTATTTATGAAAGCCTACTTAATATTTATTTTGAAATTGGAATGTTGGAACCCCTTAAATTGTAACTCATTATAATGTTTACAGAGTGGTTAAAATGGTAATTCTTCTCTTTTGTTTAATGGTATGTATTTTGTCATAATTCTTGTAATAACTCAATATCAAGTAATTTTAAATCTAAGAACGACTCTTACAATACATTTACCGTTTCCTCATCCTTCATTCCAATTCCCACAAAACTCAGATATTCATACTATGGTATAATCCGTTATATTTGCCGACAACTCCCAATTTTGTACCTCCAATTGCTAATCAATACATAGATATTTGCTATATTATTTTTTTCCTTCTACTTCATCACCTCCACCAGACGTCTCATGAACCCTGGATGTAAGTTCAACTGGAAAGACTCACCAACACCGGGATATTCATGACCGGAAGTTGAAAAATTAAAAACTAATGAAGGGCACACAATGACTATTTTATCAAAGAGCATGCTTTTATATGACATTAAAACCATGTTTAAAAATTTATTATGAGTAATAATTATTAATAACATTAAATATAATGACAAAAATAACACCACGATCCCTCTTTTCGTACAGTGGTATGATCCGCCATTGTGACGGTTTAAAAATTCAGCAGGCAGTGTCGGCTGTTACTACTCAGAGCAGAAAATCCGTTGTTGTGGAGAGAAAGAAAGCCGAATCAGAAATTCGAGGAAACGTTCAAAAGCCAGCGTCAAACCCCATCTCGGCGGGTGTTGTTTTTCTATCTACTGCTACTCTCCCGGTTTGTTTTAACAAAAATGGCTTGCGGTGCGACGTTAAAGCGGTCGATGGAGTTTGAGGCCCTCCTCAGTCCCCAGTCTCCCAAGCGGAGAAGGTGCAACCCACTACCGGGGACTCCGAGCACTCCGTCTCCGCAAAGATGCAACCTCCGTACCCCGGTAGACAGTCCGGGCCACTCGATGTCTCCTCAGCCCATCGGAGGCGAACACAGGCTCACTCCAGGTACACATTTTTAAATAATTTGACGTATTTTGTGTGTTTCTGGGTGGGTGTCGTGGGGGGAGGGGGTTTGGGTGGAGTGGAAGAATCAGAATGGGGGTTGGAGGCTAAACGTTAGCTGGACTCGGCTAAAGTGATGAAGGGGAACGTAGTTGCCGAGTCAAGTTCGCATATGGTAGTATTGATGGTTAAATACACCAAATTAAGAACAAAAGTAAAACTGAGTTCATAGTTATTGGTAAGTGGCGTCTTGCCAGCTCCTAATACCCGGCTGTGTTAGCTAGTCCTGGCTAATGTTCAGGTAAATAATGGCTATTGCTGCGTTCAAAACCCTTCTCTTGTCATGTGAACGTTGTATGTACACGACTCATATCATGTTTGCGCTACTCTTGTCTGCGATGCCAGCCAATTGAATTAAATGTCAAACTTTCTTCACAATCTGACAGACTTTATTTAAAGGGGCCTGCCTATGCTTCAACACCCGAATATCTAATCTGTTGAGGCACGAAACGGGCAAATGGCATCACATGAGCAGCCATGTCAATACTGTAGGTACGTTAAAAAGTGCTCGTAGGCGTTTTTACTTATTTTTTAAAAAATATATATTTTCAGCAATTATCCATTTCAAAAAACTATCCGCCATGCATGAATCCTTTGTCTTCTTTACATATCCTGATAAATAAGTCGCTACCAGAAACTTTTAATGAACTGAAAGCAAAACGATGTACCCTTATCCACAACCAGCCCCTTAAAGAGGTGAAAAATATCAAGCTGTGTTGAACTTGCCTAAATGTTATTGAATAAGTTGTTGTTCATAAAAATCTAACATTTATTATATCATTTTAACTTACAAAAAATGTTGCAAGAAATTAAAAATGACTTAAATTGAATTCTGAATTGTAAAATCGTCTTAAACGTTTTACTCCAAGCCCCCAAATTATCGCAATACAAAAAAATTGTTTTGACATAAAAATCTCAACAAATGAACTTTGATAAATTATCTGTGCATTTTTGTTTTTTGTATTTTTGTATGGTTTGTTTTATCTGCTTAATACCAACAGTTTAAAAAAAGTACTTTTGGTAATCATGGTGCACAGTAAATAAAAAAATTATTGTCTCAGGGAAACATGTTTACTTACTGGGCATATGATAGTAAATAAATAAAAGAACTTTGAATCTTTCATTTAAAAAACAAATTCTTGAAGAAATAAGACATTTCAGTTGATTAACATGTAACTTTGAAGAGTTAAGTTAAGGTTTTAGGAAAGAATGATTATTTTCACAATCGAAAGCAATAATGGCGAAAGTTCTTCCTCCAAACAAAAGGGCTTTGTCTTGCATTCTTTTTAATATGAAAGATTATATTTATATTGGGAAGTTCAGACATTATTACTTGTTTTTATGGGAATCCGGGTCCCATCTAAATATTTACCTACTGAAGAAGATAAGAACATTCATTTTTGAGTCAAGTCTTTGTGAAATTTAAAAAGGTTTTAGGCTTTACTGTTTGTGGTATGTTATTGTGTTACTTCCCTATAATAAATGCTTGTCCCTATTGCTTATTTATCAGATCTGTTGATTGTTGGTATGCATACTTGGAAAAATATACATAGCAATCACTAGTCAACTAATTTGAACACAAATGGCACATTAGCAGATGGTAACATATCAATTTTAACATCTAATAATCTTATAGAGCACAAAAAAGATAAATGCATTATAGCACATCATTGCAGCTTGCTAATTAGGTGCTGCCTGACTAATGTTCCTTGGCTCCACTACCACAATTGTCTTGTATTTAAGTGGGGGTTACTATTATGGACCACAGCCGTTTTTCTTTCCACAGAGCTGGAATGCATTGTTCATTATTGCCTGTTTTCTCCCACTGGCAACTACATTATGTTAGTGTTGGATGAGTTCATGGTGCACGAGTGGACACCAGATAGTTAGCTGGAGATCTCCACTGTAATCCTGTGCATTTTTGGCAGCAGCCAGGCCTCACGCTTGTGCTTTTTGAATTCCAATATGATATTGCTGGGTGTCCTTGGAATTCATGTCTTGCAATTGAATAGCAATGAGATGCTTCTTTGTCTTGTGTAATTGAAAGTTGATGCTCTTTTCATGACATAAAATAAAGGGCAAGTTTCTGTTTGATATATTTCCACATTCTTCATATGACATTTGCTGGGTTCAATTTTGTTTTTTGAGGGCTCTGGAGCGGTTTGTCCTTTTGCAAATGTCGTCCCTATGGATAATCATCTTGTCACTGCAAACCTTAGACCATTAGTCATTATGCTTGTATAACTTTAATGTGTAAATAAATTATCATGTATATCCAACTCATTTCTGAACATTTTTACACTTCATTTGTATTTATTTAGGTTCAGATTATTTTTTTTTGACAAATCATTTTAATCATCAAACTAAAATGCCTTAAAACTTCTACATGCTCGTAGATTTTAAAATCTTAAGTTATGTTTTGTTCCTTTTACACCATGATTTCAATATTTCTTGTTGTCAGAATGGTTACCAAAGGTCCCACTTGAGTGTATGCATAGTCAGTACCAAGTGTCCTGATTATGAAGTCGTGACTTTATTAGAACCAGTTTTGCTTTGAGTGATGGTGAAGAAATCAGTTGGACTTTCCACAATTAGTCTTGTGATCTTTTATCTCTGCTTTGATTATGTTTTTGATATAACATTATATGCTGAAGACATTGATTCATCTGCAAGCCAAGTGAAATGTTCAGCACCTCTAAGCTGAAACCTGAAGAGAAAGGACCGTTTAGTTTATAGAAAGTTAAACACTTTGGTTTCAGATGATATAATCCAGGACACTTCTATGTATTCTGACACTTTTCATAATTCCTTCTGCCATTTGCTGCTCCAACGGTTTATACTTTTGTTTAAAAAAGTCTAGATCGCTTATACTTTTCATCCAATTTTGCACATATAGATCTCGATCACCTTGGAATCTGTTTCAAATTCAAATTATGTCACTGAACCACTAATTTGTGCTTCAGTTAAGTGCCTTGCAGCACCGGAATGCTGCAGTAAACCTGTCTTTCTGATGTGATTTGCTAAGTGAGAGTTTTGCATTTGGTAAAGTTGACAGTGAATGGATGAATACTGTAGTGTTGGTTTTAATCATTGGGGTTTTTTTCTCTATATATTCAGTGTCTCATTTGTTTATTTTGACTGTGTTTAATAAGTAATGGCTCAGTTTGTTTTTTAATACAGAGCTTTCATAAATGAAATTTGTATTGCCCAGTGTACATTCTAACAGAAGCTTGTATTTCATAAATTATTTCCTGTAATGTTTTTGTCCCCTTCTTATATAGACATTTTAATTATTTTCAATCAATCATTTTGAATGCCAATCTTTCTAAAATATTGCTGTTAAAAAAATGTATGTAGCAAATTCAACCTATAATCAGTTGCTCCACAATCCTCCAGGTTATTCTTCATACTTCATTTTCTTATTGGTCAGATCATCTGTAATATATAAACTTATTGGTTTTGTTTTAGCAAAACCAATAAGTTTATATTGGTTCACAGCTTTATTGTGATTGTTTTTAGCATCAAACAACTGGAGTTTACTGAACATGGTTTCCATATCTCAATATGTCAGGAATGCTGATTTTAAGACAGATATTCAGACATGGCAGGTGTATCTCTAAAGAAGG